CTATTCGTTTCTAGTCATCGTTTATTTATTCTAGTTAGGTTTAAATAAAAAATGCATAATCATCTACTTTACAGAACGTAGACATTAAACGAAAAGGAGAAATTAAAATATCCGACAGTAAAAGAGGTAATAAAACAAAGGGAAAAATAAAGACTCAATACTAGAATTCAATTTTTACGATATATCTAAGCAACAGAATAGTAGCTAGAGACCAGATCTGGACTCTAGCGCTAGATGACTCTGGTCGCTAGAGACCGTGACTGCAGAAGCCATTACAAGCCCAGTTAGTGCATTTTTGCAAAATTTTCATTAAAATGTGATACGGTGTATTGATTTTGTAAAACAACAATTTATTCTTTAACAAATCAGGTTGTTTCTTTACGAGTTAGGTCTTTAATCGCTAGAACAAAACAATTGAGTACTCGCTGTTGATTGCTTCTTCATGTTTTAAATGAGTATTGAAACCAATCCTGGCGGGTTCCAAAATATAAAGGCAATAGCCTCTTCGGAGGTTTGTTGTGTCTTTGGTGGCTTTGTATGTCTTTCTCTGGGTTCTGTTTATACATATGATTGTTGATTTTATTCTGGAAGTAACGTGTATATCTGTGTTTTATCCGTTATCATTATGACAAACCAATTATGGTCTGGTCTGGTCTAGTAGTCCATTAAAACAGACCAGTGCATAAATTATTTAATTACAATATATTCATATTCTTTGACTTATTCTGATTAAACGTGTCCAAACAGCGCCCAGGCTCCTCAACGCACTGTTATTTTTGCTTTGGTGTGAAAAACACAAAAAAAGGTTTATCATACTGAAATGTTCATGTGTAATAGTAAATCTGCAAATACATATATCAGAGTGTTATCTTGTTTCTGCAACTTTACATTGCAATGTTTCCATAAGACTATTCAGCGTTTTTTTATGTTTTTGAGAAAAATACTCATTTAAAGTTCCTCCAGGGCTCAGAGGCATCATTGATGTCGGCGCGACTGCGTTTTGAATTTAGGAAACCATTCTTTAGTGGTTGTAGTCGGTGAAGTGGAGCTTAAGTAACACCTTTTAAACCACTGCCAAGTTTGGACCGATTTTTTTTATGAAATAACAGTGATAAATCAATACAAGAAATTAATTTGAATCCATGTATATAAACATCACAAAATTGTGGTCACTTAAAGCACTGTAACTCAGTAAATACCGATTAGAATGCTATGAAATTTTCACAGTGTGTTTTTGAAGGTTGTCAGTATCGAAATGTCATGCAGATAATTCATTATATTCAACATTAAATGGTAAGTGCGGGACTTAACCGACGTATTGTCTTCATTTTGTTTGTTATTTTTATCTCTATTTTTTTTTATTAAAAACTGAGCTGTTCTTTTCTGTAATGGGCCCTGTAGTATTTTTTATTTCATAATATAAGTGTAGTTGTAATTTTTATATTTTAGATTACATTACTCTATAATTTTTACAACTGTTGTTGTTGCCTTTTTTGGAATAATATTGTATGCCTTTTGCCATATTTCAGGTCTTTTGGTTTCTAACCAACATTAATTTAACAGATACGGGTCTAGCAAGAGACCTTATTACCTTAGATGTTAATTCGTTTGGTCTGCTGATGTTGCTTTATCTTCTCTTTTAAAATATTTTTATGTAATTTATTAAAATGAAATTTATATGACATTTGTTTTTGTAAGTCGTCTTCTATACAACTATTAGGGTTGTACCATAGATTTTTATAGTATTGGATCCAGTTATATTCGTTAATAGCATCTAGGTCAGCTATTTAGGTAGGTAACAGGTAGACTAATTAATTAGTTGTTTTAACGTTTTATATGCGAATGTTTATCGTAGATGTAAATTAGTCCCAAAAAACTAATAAACTTTTTTGGTAATTGCTCATGTATTACTTAAAATATATTCAACATCGTTAAAAAAAACTCTTCTAAAAAGGTAGTTACACATAACCACGTTTAGAATAAATACGCATACCGAACGCATCTGGAACGAATGGGTGGAAAAACAGATAATGATGTTACGTTTTTCTGTGGGTTTAGGGATTAAGTCAGGTACACGTAGTTAAACTTATTCTATTTAATTCACTCGACTGTAAAATAAACTCACTGAATAACACCAAAAATAATATAAGTATCAAATACAAAAACACTTGTCTAATAATTCCATTCAAAGGTGCCAAGCAGTTTGTATACACGAATATTTGTTCTAGAGTTCCATCGAAGATACGAATGACCAATCAGGACTTTAATACGAGATTCTAGAATAGAAGAATAGAGATAAATAGTTTGATAACTTTGCTGAGTGGTTAATTCGACTGGAATTACTGTTACGCCAGTGCTGCAATTAGACCATTGCGTCTTTTGTTCACCCAGAACAGTTCTTAAGTAAACCAGGTCGATGGATCCTGTCCTTTATAAGGACACAGTCTCTCCAAGTGACCTTCGCCTGACTTCGTGACGTCAGTTGTACCCTATATACAAGTTCGTTTATTTTCTGAGTACTCAGGTATGATCCCTCCTAGGGCCACTGCAAGTTGTGACTTGGATTTTTTCCTCTAGTTATTTGGTAAAACTAAACTGCATCACCTTTCTTAAAACTAACACGAGTAAATTTCTGATTAAATCGAAATCTCATCTGGTCACTGGTGAGTTGTAGTTTGTTCCTGGCAAAATCGTGGACCTTAACCAGTTAATCCTTTAGACCACCGAAATACTCGGAGAGTGTTTTTCGGTTTGTCCCCCGTCTGGTAGATTACCATGTACGAGATCAATGTCTTTTTACAATACAATCGGACTCTAGATGGTCTTCTTAATTCCCAGCAAAACCATTATGGTCTTTTAAAATTCTGATTCGAAGTTGCGGCCCTGGTCAGAAAGATGCAAAAGTGGAACACCATTTCGGCAAACTTCTGGTCATTTAGAAATCATTAATGGCAACCATATAATACTTGGTTCCTGATGTTGTTACTGGAAATGGTTCCAAAATGTCAACAGCAGCTCATTTCCATAAAGTTTTGATATTGTATTTTTGGAGTTTTCCTGAGTCTGCTTTTGAGTCCCTTCATAGGTCACATCGTTTGCACCACTATTCTATATCCTGTCGACAATTAACACAATAATACCTCTCACGGCTTTTATCTAACCTATTGATCATAAAATATCCCTGGAGCGGCTATTATGGAGTTACGCAAGCACGTTCTTAATATATGGCCTAGAAAGAACAACTTGGGCACTGTGATTGTTCCATCTGGACTCCATTTACGAGTGATGACATCATTTCGCAGACACAAGGAGTCTCACTGAGGCCAATAGATCTTTACTGCTTGCCCATATTTGGCAATCTTCTGCCACTGTGGTCTATCTCTGTTGTCTAGCCACTTACGTACAATTTTTAGATCGGTATCTGTCTTCTGCTCACAGACTACATGTAGATATGGATCTTTTTTCTGTTAATGGATTAGATTTAAATCTAAGCTTCTTCGTTATTTCCGCCCTCTACGCTTTCCAACTATCAAATCTGACCTACTCTTTCTTTTTCGTAGGGTTCCTGTTATCTAATCATGTCTTTTCTCTACTTAACCTCTTGTTACATCAACTTCTTTAAACATATCTTCTTTTGTCTTCCCAATTTCTCTTTTCATACTTTCTTTTTAATTTTTTACCTCTTAAATTTTTAGTTTACCTAGTTCTACAGATGAATAATTATATATAATTATTCATCTGGTTTGTTCACTATGTTCACTAATTACGTTGTTCCTATTATTTTCCCTTCATCCCAACATCCACCGTAACCTTTTTTTATTACAGCCACCTCCATCTTCTCTTTCTGAGTCTTCTTTATAGGCCACACTTTACCGGCATACAACAATGCAGGTCTCACCACACTCTTTTATATCTATACTTTCAGACCTTCTCCTGGTTTTCATTCACAAAGTACCTCCCTCATTCGCTTCTAGTTAAACCAACCAGCCTTCATCATGTGGGAAATTTCTCGAGCTAAAGTGTCCTATATTCTGTTATAAAATCTAGATTCAAGGTATTTAAAATGTTCCACTCATCTTAATTGTCCCTCAAGCAATTTGATTTTCTTAACCGTTTCTCTTTCTCCCAACCACATATACTCTGTTTTCGACCTGCTTACTTTAAGTCCTCTGTCTTCGATATCTCTTCTCAAACCCTCCAACTTCTTTTAGAGTGCTCTTACCTTCTCTTTCAGTACATCCATATCAAGAATCTTACTTCTGTCCTCGTTTCGTAGACATTCCCGTTTTCTATATCATTAAATTTTTTGGCAGCTAACTTTTTGTATTTAATTTGCTATTCTTTTGATAGTACCTTACAGGTTAATTTGGCTTATATTTTTATTTAAGTAGTGCAAATAGTTCGTATTTTTGTAATACATTTTTGATTTTACACAAACGGTTTTTTTGGCTTTTGAAAACACTCAAAGAAATTTAATTTTTTATTAAAGTTACTTAAGTCATTGGATTTTGTAATTTCAATTTTTTACTTTTATTAAACAACGTTTTAAAAGTAATTTGCACAGACAATTAAACGTTTACTGTTTTTAGAAATGATTAGAATATAAAGGAACAGGAAGGAAGGAGTAGAATTTAAATGAGTTCAAACTTTGAAAGTATTTTATCTATTAAACGACAATATAGTTGAAATATAAATAATAATAGTAATAAGATTAGTTAAATAGCCATCGAGTAGTAAAATCCATTTAAATTTTGCTTAAAATTACCTTGACTCCCCTTGTTATTTAAAATATCGCGAGATTTACTTCACCACACCTTTCAATTTAATACAGTTGATCATCTTAGCCATCCCGGTGACCTTTCCACAGAAACAGATGCATTATAAGGAAAAGAAATGCATCGAAAAAATTGCGAAGCGACAAGAGGGGTACGAGGTGGGCACTGGAGATGATTCTTGACTAGGATTTTAGTATATATATGAATTTAGGAATTGATGAGTTTAGTTTTAGAGTGATCACTGAGGCTTAACAATGATTTCTTTGGTAAGTTTCATTGCGGTACACGTGGGTCGGTTAAAGGGTAATCAATTATACTAGTTTCGTAGTAGATTGTAATGGAAGTGCTAAATAATTTTTATTATTTTTACTGATAATGCGGTAGGATATTATTTGTTTGATTCGGAGGACCAATAGAGTTAAATTTTGCTTACGCCGGTGTTTATATTTTTCAAAAATCCCTTTAAAGATGATTTGTTTTGATTTTATAAGTAATTCAACATTAGGTTTTCAAATGTGATCTAGGCTTACTTGTATATTTACATTTTAAGATTTTTTTTAACTATCAAAAATTTATCTTTTATCATATCTATATATTTTTTTCAAAATCTGATCTTGAATTAATGTTTTCTTTTTATATATTCTACCTGAAAATTCTATGTCGACTGTTTTTCTAGTTTTTAAATTAGTTTTTTAGTTTACAAAATTACTATTTAATACATTTTGTTTATTCTTTGGTGTCTTAATTATTAATAAGGATTGGATAATTAAATTTGGGCCATTTTAATAGATGTCAAAACCAGTGTAATATTTTGTATTTATTTTATTGTTCCAAGCAATCTTAGATATTCTATATTGATGTCTTAGGTTTATAATATGTATTTAAAATTATTGTTAGTTCCATATTTGGCTCGGAATCCTCTGATGATCCTGGATTACTTTAGAATTAGTCGTCATTCTGTTCGGTTTCTGGCGACGTGTTTCCATCTTTTGATTTTACTTTATTTTATTATTTTTTGTTTTTCTATACCTATTTTCATTTTATTATTGTTTTGGAGCTTCTTCATATACCTCTGAACTATTTTCTTTTGACATTTGACGTTTAGACTTCAAGCTCAGAAATAGTTTTTAACTTTTCTTCTCGTTATCGTAGATTCTTGTGCTTGTTTTGAATACGTAATGTATTTACATCCATAATATGGTGAGTTAAATTTTGTATATTAACATACTTTTTATAGATTCTGCTGGGACTATTAGCTTAGATATTTTGCCTTTTGTATTATTCCTTTATACTGTGTTATTAGACTGATAGTTGGTGGTTAAATTTAAATTGTTTTATATATAAGAAGTCTGCGTTAAGTCGTATACTTGCTTTATTATTTTGTATTTTTCTTCAGTGTTACAAATAACATGTTTAAAAATTTGTTTTATGAAAAATCTGTTTCCTAATTTCGGGTTTAGTATCATCCATCATTTTTCTGCTTGCTCCCTTATTTTGTTTTGTCTTTATTGTTTTTAATCTTAATCTTTCTTGAACGTATTTTCTGAGCTTCAAATTTTCTTTTCATTCGTATAAATTTCTATTCCATTTTTTTTTTTCATTATACTTAACTTCTATATTCCTAAGTCAAGTTTTCTGTTTTTTTGTTTTTATTGCATTGTTCTTATGAATATTATTGTTATTAAATTTTTTTATTTAGTCATGTTTTTCTATTAAAAGTTTTTTTAATCCGAAAATTTTTTGTTGCTTTTTAATATGACTAAAGTAATTGTGATGTTTTGACTTTAATCTCAGAAATCGTTGTCAAAATACAAAGACTGGCTCTTATTTCCTTAGATTATTCTCCTGGTTTTGATAAAGTGCTAAATTTTCGATCAATCAAGTCACCATTGTAACCAATATTTAGACGTAGGTATGTCCAAGACCTGGAGACCATGCCAACACAAAAGACCCAGAGGCAGACCTCCTATGAGATGGACAGATGATCTGAAAAGGACTGCCGGGAAAAATTGGCTACAAGTAGCGTACAATAAAAAATAATGGAAAGGAAGACTTGAAGAGGCTTATGTTCAGATGTGGACGTGAATGGCTAGACGAAGAAGAAGAAGAAGATGTCCAAGACATAGTTCTTCTTTAGGTGTCGTGTCTAATGGAGGTTGGCAATGAGTTCTGTAAATTGGTCTTTCCTCTGCTTTTCGAGAATTAGTTAGTTTTGTTTTTTGAACATACTTTTCTAAGGCTTCTGTCCTACTTAATTTACCATTATGTAGGATTTATATTTGGCATTTTGTATTTGCTCGTAAATTTTTTTATTTAATTTTGTCTGTTGTTTTGACTTTTTATGTTTTTGACTACTGGTTATTATTGTTTTTGTTGCTTCTTCTTTATTTTAATAAAAATCTGTTTAATTAGATATTTCGACTTGAATATTTTCCTTAAAAATCTAGACATTTCTATTTACAAATCTTCACATTTTTTTTTATATTCATAATCTTCCTCCTTATTCCTTGAGCCCTTGTTAGAGCGTGGTGACACTCTAAATAATATCAGCTTGCTGTTCTTGTGCCATATGGACGGTTTTATGTAAGGATTTTTTCAGAGTCTTTTGGTCTGTCCATCATATTGGAAATCTTGTTGTTGGTCTTCAACCTTTCACTATCCTTCTACTATCAATATATCAATAGTTACATGGTCCTCTAACTAGTTCTTCTAGCAATATAGACAAAGCAAATTAGGTATACTCGGTTTACTTTTTTAATAGCCTGTCTTTTATAGTAAGCTCTTCCAGAATTGACAGGTTGGTTCTACGTTCTGTCCAGGACACGCGTAAAATTCTTCTTAAGACACACATTTCTGTAGTACAGTCGCTTTTCTGGCATTGCCAATTTTTCTGTTATATACCAAATATACCAGCTTCATTTCTTCTGCTAAAACGACGCTAAAGTGACGCCCGTTATTGAGCGTGTTGTTCGTCTGATTTAAGAATTGACGTTTATTTTACTATTTCCTATAGCTTCTTTAGCTACTAAAAAACGAATACGGCAAGAAATAAGGACAAGCAAAAATCATCCAAAATCCAGATGGAAATCACTACTTGGAATGTCAAATCTCTTAACTTAAGAGAACAAGAAATAACCCAAGTACTGAAAGAAAAAGAAATAGACATTTGTGCTCTACAGGAAACAAAAATGGAAGGAAAATGACAATACAAATTGGGTGAATACATACTAATCTACAGTGGAGTAGCAGAAGAAAATAGGGCCAAAGAAGGTGTAGCCTTACTAATACAACAAAGGTACCAAAATACCATCAATCAGTGCCAATATATATCGAAAAGAATTGTAACAGCACAGATAAAATAAAAAAGGAAGACCCAAACATCATCGAAGTATACAACCTAGAAAATAACAAGCCTCAAACAACAAGGGAAACGTTTTATGACCATCTACAACAAGTAGTAGATTAAGTAAGAGGGAAATAGATAATATTGGGTGATTTTCACACCCGAATATACAATCAAATAATACCCGAAATTAAGCAAAAACATAACGAGAATGTTAAAAACGAAAATAAAGAAAATATTAAGGAAACACTGGCAAAGCTTCTCAAAGCAGATGGAACAGGACTTCTACGGAACACAAAAAGAAATTTAAAAAATGATCAGAAGTCGAAGGAAAGAGATAAATGAACTAATAAAAGCAAAATACATTCAGATGGAAGCATGGATAGTCTAATTTCAACCCCTATTTGCTAAAGTTTACCATATTAAACCACCAACGAAGAAATAAATATTAAGGAGGAAGAAGGAAGAAAAAGGACGAAGAGGTAGAGGTGGGATTAAGGAAATTAAAAGATAGAAAATCACCAGGAGAGGACAGAATACCGAACGAACTCCTAAAGTACGGAGGACCTGATCTGACCAAACAACCATTAAAACTAATCCAAAAAAATATTACAACAAAACAGAATTTCTCAAAAATTGAGATCAAGCATCCTCATACCCATCTTCAAAACACAAGGCAAATCGGACCCAGAAAATTACAGTGGAATTAATTTATTAAACACAAAACAAACATTAACAACCAAAGTGATAACAAATAAACTAAATAAAATTATAACACTAGCAGAAGAACAACAAGGTTTTAGGTCAGAAAGATCATGCACCAACGCTATATTCGAGTAAAACAAACAAAAATAAAACAACTTAAAATAATCTGCTATGTAGACGCCGCAATACTACTCTTTCAAAGTGATTTACAATGTATACTGCACCGATTTAATATAACCGCCAGAAAATTTTACATGGTAATTTCACAAAAAACAAAATGCATGGTTACAGCAGCAAATTTACTGAGATATAAATTGGAGCTGCAAGGTCAGACAATAGAACAAACAATGGAGTTTAAATATATAGGCATCAGATTATCTTGCTACAGAAAGGTCGGAACTGAAGTGAAAGATTAAGTGAATAGAGCAAATATAGCCGCAGGTTGCCTGAATGAAACAATATGGAGAAATAAAAATATCGGTAAAGAAATGAAAGGCAGAATTTACAAAACAGTCAACAGACAACAGACAATAATAAAAAACGCGGCAGAAACAAGACCTGCTACAGAAAGGGACAAAAAGGATGTTAAAAACGGCAGAGATGAAAACACTTAAAAACATTGCTGGCAAGACACTCTGGGACAGAGCTAGAAGTACAGATATACAACGTAGATGCAAGGTGTAGAACGTCAAGAACTGGGTAAGAAATAGAAGGGTAGAATGGAACGAAGGTAAAGACGGCAAGAGACGGTTCCCAAATAGGAAGACGATCAGTAGGAAGACCACGAAAACAATGGAGCAATAACCTACTGAAGGCACATTAAGAAACAGATAGAGTATTGTCTATATAATAAGAAGAAAAAGAAGAAGAAGAGGGAGAATTTGTTCATAGCTATTTTGTGTATAACTCTCATTTAAGTGATTCCAAATTATATTACTTAAACTATTTCTCAAACTCAATTTTTAAGAGTTAAAGACTAAAATCTGCATCATATTTAGCTGATCTTATGGAATATTTTGGATTTACAGTATTTGCTTATGGCATAAATATAGAATAAGTTGTGTAATTAATTAAAGTTTTAAGAAATAAAATATATATGGTTGTAAATATAAAAACAAATAATTGGCACAACTCATAATTTATTATCAGCACAAAAGAGAAACTACTTATAGTTTAAATGTTGTGGATAATAACAGCTGAGAAAAAAAAGCGTCAATTTCTGTCGTTCTCACGGAAAGTAAAGAAGTACCGTCTGCGATAAAGCGGGTGATCAAAAGTATATCTGTTTTTTTTTTTCGAAGCAAGAGATGTAAGCTTTGCAGCTTGTGACTAAGCCCTAAACAAATTCTGGTTAAGTTCTGTCCTTTCGCGAGGGTGCGACCCTATTTACGTTGATCTATTGTCTAAAAATTACAAAAATTTTGAGTGCATAGTATTAGAGATGTAATAAATTAAGTAAACTTTATAAAGGCTATTAACTTGAACGTTTTTTACACATTTATTAAGTGGGTACAATCATAATATGCCAATGGTTCTCAGCTTTAAAAGTGAATAGAATAGAAAATGAGGTGGTTCTTTATGCCCAAAATAAAAATTATTTATGACTGTTTTATTATTGTTACAAAAATCTATTAAATAGCTGATTTCATTACAAATGCAAATGGTTTTTTAAAACCAGATAGTTAATGAAGATATTTAACAACAAAAAGAAATATTTAAAGATTCTTGTAAATTTAGGTACCTGAATTTAACTTTTATAAAAACGCAACATATTAATTTAAATATATCTTATTCAAAAATTTTTGTTTTGATTTCAGGTGGTATTTTTAGCGATATTTGGAGTAACTCTAGGACAATACAGGCCAAATCCTGGTCCAATTTCACCTGGCCAGGTTATTCGTATAATCAGTCAAACCCAAGAAGGTCCAAATCCAGATGGATCATACGCATGGAGGTAACGTAAATGAGGATGTAATATGACAAATTATACATAAAAATTATGTATAATACATGCTTTTACAGGCTTTATGGTATTTATCTAAAAAAAATTATTATCGATTGGAAATTCTCGTAAATATAGCATGATGGGCTATAAACAAAGTAGTATAATGTTCTTTACTTGATTGTCAGAAGGTTTTGCTTGGGCCACTTGTGTAGTTTAAAGTTAACTTGATATTATCTTAAACCTTTTGCAGTTTATTTTTATATAAGTAAAAACCACTCAGTATTTGACTGAAAAATTTGAGGTGGTCACTACAGTAGGACTCTCTTAGATTAATTTTTTTTCCATCATTACCTTTGCTTCTTTGTTTCTTTATTTGTTCAAATTCTTAAATCATCAAGACACTGTTTGAGTTTCTCTTGAACAAGCGAGTTTCCTTAAAGAAAACTTTATTCTTAATCATTTTTTTATACATTACTACTATTGCGCGTACCAAATACCAGCCTTTTCATCATTGCTGCTTCAGATGTTCGGTCCAATATAGTATTTTCCTTGGTACTATCGGTTTTGGTTTTGAGACAATTTTTATTGAGAATTCATTGGCAAGTAAAGACATATAGGATTTAATTCAATTCTGTATACCTGCTTATTTTAATGTATTTAAAAATGATCTGTCACTCATACAAATAGTTCTGACACAGTAGGCAAATTTAAACAAAAATAACACTATTTTTTCACTCCTTAACGTTTGTCTTCAAGTACACATTCAAGTTATTAACCATCAAATCCTTTATACAAATTAACGTTCACCGATAAGTCATTGGTTTTATGTAGATAATAAAATATACTATTTTATTGTCTTGCAATACAATACTAATACCAATTGTTAGATAATACCAGAAAAGTCAAAATTATTACATAAATAATTATTTGTTAAATTAGATGGTTATTTTTAGTTTAGGTATTTACCAGTAGATACTTACCTACGTATTTTATTTTTTTGGGTATCCAAAATGTACCATACAGCTAATAACTCATAACCATAATTTATTAATCAAGTTTAATCGGTTTTCTATTGGCTAAATTCTAAAACTGAGATTGCCAAACTTGCTATTTTTGTACCTATTATTGTCTTTTTATTCGCCTGCTAGATCTGCGCTAATATGGCAAGGTTAAAGTAATAAATTACGCAGCACTATAGCGTTATCTCTTATATAACTGAGGATGCTATAGTATTTGAGTTTGTTATAGCGCTAACAAACGAATCGGTAGATTTACCTGAGGATATAACTCTGGACAATAATAATATAGAAAAAATTAAGCTACCAAATACTGCCTGGGCAGTAGCTATTTACCTGAAAATGCTTAACATTAAGCCCAGCGATATCAAGATCAATGAAGAAATAAGAAGTCGAACAAAAGCTACAGATGTAATTTAAAAGATTGCCATGTTTAAAATGAAACTAAGTAGGGCACATAGGATGAATGGAAGACAACCATTGAACGAAGCGAACTATAGAATGAAGACCAAGTGCAAACAAGAGAAGAAGAGGCAAAGCTTAAACTAGATGGACTGATGACGTCAAACCAATAGCTCGTCACGAATGTATACCAAAAACAACAAACAAAAATGAATAGACACACCTAGGGGAGACTCACATCCGACGATTGATATAATAACTGTTGAAAATGATAGCGTTATCTTCTGTAAAACTTACATTTTAAGCTTGTAACCTAACCAGCATATGATAATTGCCATATGCTTGTCATTTACCAAAGGCTTAGACCATACGCTGAAAAAATAGTCGGTACATAGCACCGTTTCCAGATGATGTTGACATAATTGCAATGTCAAGCAGAGAAATGACAGAGGCATTACAATATATACATGGACGGAAAAACGCAAAAATAAGGCAGTTACCAAATCTACCAATATGAGAATACAATTATTATATCCCTAATAGATTTAACAATACAAGACTTAAAAAATATCCCTGTCTTATTCCATTGCCAGGTTCAATGGGGTCTGTTAGTTCTTCTTCTAATTTTACTTTTATTATGTTGTTTTGGTAGATATTCTCGATCCTTTTAATTTTTTCTAGAGGTATCTCTATTGCGGACCATAAGTTGATACCGCCCTTTAATTTAACCTGGTCAAATGCCGTCTTAAGCTCCACGAAACATAGATGTGCCGTTTGTTGTATTCTATTGATTTCTCTTACACTTGATCATTATAAATAGAGAGTCGGTGCATGATCTTCCATACTTAAAACCTTGTGGTTCTTCCGTTATAATTTCATCCAGTGTATTTTTTATCACTTTGATTGTTAATTTTAGTGTTGTGTTTAATAAATAATGCCTCTGTAATTTTCCGGGTCCGGTTCGTCTCCCTTTTTAATGAGATGTATTAGTATGCTGGATCTCCATTCTTGAGAAATTCTGTTTTGTTATATTGTCACATACAAAGTCAAAAAAAAAAATTAAATTTGAATAAGAAAATAAAACTTTAAACTGTACAAAATATATGAGGAATCGGATATCGTGGTATTTAATAAAATAGACTGGCTGCGTCGGATAGTACATGTGGAGAGATTAAAAGAAGATTAAAAGAAGGCAAGATTTTAAAAAAATAAGCAAATAAGTGCCAATAGGATAAATAACAAGAAGAAGACCGAAGTAAAAATGCATAGAACAAATGGAAAATGATGTAAAAACCTTTAAAATAAAAAAATGGAAGAGAAAAGCTCGTAAAAAATCAGAATTGAGAAGGATCCTGGAATAGGCTTACACCTTTGTAAAACCATTTTATCTCAATTACAACAAATCAATATATTTTTGTAAAATACAGTTAAATAAATCGTTTGACCATAGCTACTTTTACTGATTGCGACTCGAAAGTTCCTTCAATTACATGCTACATCTATGTTTGTGCTTTCGGTTAAGTTTTAACACCTAACGTCTATTTTAGGTTTAGGCCTTACTATTCTTATTTTTGTAGTGCCTACCTGTTTCTGATGTTGGTAATCATCATGGCAATCTGTATTCTGCAAACCGCTGCTCTAAAAAGATTTGTGGTTGTTGTGTTGAACCACGTTCGTAGATTTTTCAGCTAGGAAATCCTTCGCCTTCCTGGTCTTTGTTTTCCTTCTAATTTTCCTTGAAGATTTAATTGCAGGAACCCATATCTTTCGCTGTTTCTCATGATGTAATCGAGGTATTCGATTTTGGCTGTGTTTATTGTAGTTAACAACTCTTTTCCTTTTTGCATTCTTAATAAAACATCCTGGTTATTAACATGGTATAGGCTATCTTCAGGATTTGACGATAAAGACACATTTCAAAAGCTTTAATTTTCTTGCAGGTAATGTCTGTGAGAGTCCATGACTTAACTCTGTACAAAATTGTAGGCAATATATTACATCATTGTAACCTGGTTTTAATTCTCCTCTCCTCCTCAATCCTTTAGCCCTTGTCAGGGCGTAGTGACACCCTAAATATTGTTAGTCTGCTGTCTCCATTGACTGCGATCTTGTGCCATATGGACGGCTTCATGTAGAAATTTTCCCACCAAACTCTTCATTTGGTCTACCCATCGTATTGGAGATCTTCCTCTTGGTCTTCGGCCTTCTACCTTTCCTTCCACTACCAATAGTTCCATGGTACCCGTTCTTCTAGCTATGTGTCCGAAGTAAGTTAGGTATGCTTGGTTTACTTTTTTTAGTAGCCTGTCTTTTATATGAAGCTCTTCCAGAATTGACAGGTTGGTTCTATGTTCTGTCTAGGACACGCGTAGAATTCTTCTGTATACCCACATTTCGAAGGCTTCGATCTTACTCCTATCGATTTTTTTGAGAGTCCTAGTTTTAATGGATACTGATAGATCATAGCATTTAAATAGCTTAGCCATTATTTGAAATGCAGATTTTGCTTTCTCTATCCTACATTTTATTTCTAGGGAATGGTCTCAATTATTTATACTTGTTCGTGCCTTACTATAACCAGTATTTATCACTGTGCATCTAATTATCCCTCACTAGACCTTTTCAGACATTGATTAAGCTTTACTAACGTTAAATGAAGGTGTATGAAGTGGAATCATGTCGACTTCAAAATTGTTAGATGATCGAACCTGCTTTTTTTGTATGTTCTTGCTATGTCATCTGTCCAGTGGGAGAAAATAAATAATGAACGATTACAAAGTTAAGCTGTTCATAACTTTTGCTAAGTTAATATCATAAAATTAGTTAGATTAATCGAGCATATCAAGCCCATAATACAACCGCCATCATTAATTTAAGCTTATCGCAATACAAAACTTTAGCTACCACAATTACATCAACTTAACTTGCTTTTTAACCAAAATTACTAGTTTGTACTACGTTGAAAAGAAAAGTGAATATCATTACAGTGGATTTTGCAGTTTATTACTTAGAGAATAGACTTTGGTGAAAATATATGCTGAGTTTTACTTATATTATTACTTTTGATTGTCTTCATCCGCATGCAACAGGATCCAATAAATTGCCTTCTACACTCACTATACTCGATATTTTCTGACGTCCACCTATTTTATCGTATTCCCCTCAATTTTTTTCTCTATTTTCCTGACATTAGCGTGACAGCCGAAGTACTGAATCTCGGTCTTGCGTTTCAACGTCATCTTCCAACGATCTTCGTGTACTATGTGGCGCAGATTCTCGCTGCTTCATACTTAATCGACGTTTAGAATTTCACTTCTTTCTCTCGTTGTTCTTCTTTGGGCATTCCTAGCTCTGTTTCGTTCTTCACTGGTAGTACATTTTTTATGTCTTATCACATTTGCAGCCAAAATTTTAAGATTTACAAACTGCCAAAAGGATTTAAAATTAAAATTTTAAAATACCTCTTAGTTTAAAATTACATTGACGAATATTTTTTGCAATTGTACGAACAAATTAATTACTTATAAAGTAATAAGATTTTCGGTTAATGATACTTCAATCATTATTTTGAAGAATGAATACGTAAATATATGAATCAACGGTATATTGAAATGTCAGTTGATAGTGTAGATTTCTTTCCTAGGTGGCGCTAGGAATTATCGTCGCGGACAAACTGCATTTCCACGTGACGTGTGGTCCCAGCCTTTTATTAGTTTAAAAGATTTCATTTGATTTAATTTTAGTTCTATCTCTATCTAGTGTTACAGCCCGTGCTGTAGAATTTTGGACATAAGCTCCTCTTCCTTCTTCCACGTCTCTCTATTGTAGGCAGTTTGTATTCACTTTGGGCCTGCGTGTTTCTTCAAGTCATCTGACCATCTTATTTGTGGCCTTCCTCCTTTTCGTTTGTAACTATATGGTCTTTAGTGCATAATAATCTTATTCCATCTGTCGTCTCTCTATCTTATGGTATGTCCAGCGAACTTCCACTTAAGTTCTGCTCTCTGCGTTGATACATCGGTCACTTTTGTTTTGTTGCGGATCCAAGTATTTCTTTTCTGGTCTGATAGCCTGATGTTCAGCATCTGCCTTTCCATGGCTCTTTGGGTCTTTGCTATTTTTCCAAACGTTTGTAAACGTCAAAGTTTGAGAACCGTAGGTAAGAACAGAAAGTATACAGTGGTTGAAGACTCTTATTTTTAAATGTTGGACATATTTTTAATTTTTTAGTATATAGGAAAGTTTTCCGAAGGACACCCAAGCCAGCTTTATCCTTCTCTTTATTGCTCTGGTCTGATTTTCTTTATTTAATACAACTAGTTGTCCCAAATATACATATTCTTTTACTTGTTCTATAGTTCTTTGTGCAAATGTAATTATTAATTCTGTTGGTTGGTCATAATTTTTGTTTAATTATAATTTATTTGTAGACCTATTTTTATTGATTCGCTATTTAATTCATGCATCACATTTTGTAGTTCTTCCCTTCTATCTGTTAATAATACAATGTCGGCTGCATATGTCAAGTGATTTATGTATTGGCCATTTATTTTAATACCCCGTTTTTTCCATTCTAATTTTTTTCCTCATACCGTCTTTCAAAGCTAAATTGAGTGGTTTGGGTGATATAGTGTCACCCTGTCTGACTCCTCGCCGTATCTTTTGTCGCGTTTGTTCAACTATTTTAATGGATGTTCCACTACATGGAACAGTAAGACTGTATTATACTGTATTAATAGAAAAAAATACTTTTCTAGCCATATAGTACTTCCTACAACTTGTTTCGATCCAAAAACTTTTTCAAATGTTAAGATTGAAGTGCTTTTTTTGTTTATATGAATCATTTTGGCAGTACATTAGATCAATCTGCTTTAACAATAAAATATTTCGATTTAATTTTAAAATCAATGTTTTTACAGTTATGATGCAGAAAATGGTATCTCCGCCCGTGAAACTGGCCGACCAAAATCACAAGATATTCTAGGCGTCCAAGGTGACTTCAAATACACCGGACAAGACGGAGTACCCATTCAGCTAACATACACTGCCGATGAAAATGGATTCGTTCCTCAAGGCGCTCACTTACCTACTCCTCCACCAATCCCAGACGCTATCCTAAGATCTCTCGAGTACAACGCTGCCCATCCCGAAGAAGATGATAGCCAGAGACAACCTACTGGAGGATTTAGAAGACCATAACCGGATTTAGAAGTATTTAACTATACGAAATGACGTTTCTGTGGTATTTAATTTATACGAATGTGATGTTTATATGTTGTAATATATTTTTGTGAATAATTATACGTGCAAATAAAATGAATGAATTGTAAATTTCTTCTACTGTAATATAGCTAACCATTGAAGCAGTTATCAATGAAAATAAGATTTTGCAAATGACAAAATTTTACAGTTTGAGTATATTAAAAAATAAAAATGATAGTAAGAAATTCAGTGTGACTGATATCTGATGAAGCTGCTATTTATGGATTTACTCAAAAGTCGTGTTTTTATATTTAGGCTTATTGTAGAAGCAGGCAGTTTCAGAAGTGGTATTATTTACAGGGTAAATAAAATGTGCATTTAAAAATATGTGTTTCGAACGGGTAATGTTTGTTGAAAGACATTTTCTTGGACGGCAGAGATGTTCAAATAATTGCAAATTTATATTGGAATCAAACAACGTCAGTTTTAGTAGATGGTGTGGTATCACAGGATCTCAATATAAAAAAAAAGACGAGTACGGCAGAGATGCCTCTTGTCACACTTTTTTTTCAACGTTTACTCCGAAATAATTTTCAGAAAAGCACTTTCTGAAAATTAAGAAGGAATACTTGTGAACGGTGAACGCATCAATAATTTGCGATATGCGGACGATATAGTACTCCTAACTTCTAGTCAATAAGATCTGGAAACACTAGGCATTTGATAGTGTCGTTGGCAGTTGTAGGGAAGCAGGTATGGATCTGAATATACGGAAAACCAAAAAACTCATAATAAGTAAACAACAGCATATAAAACCGTCTATGTATGTAAATAATATCAAACTTGAGCAAGTTGATAAAGTCATTTACCTTGGACAGTAATTAAATTGTAAAACAAAAACTGACGGCGAAATAAGATCTAGGACAGAGCAGGCTAGCGCTGCTTTTCCAAGGTGTTATGTAACAAAATCATTATCAAAATCAGTGGCATGACATCTTATCATGAGCCAAATCCTTCTTCAGAACAATCTTCCATTCGCCCCTGTGCCTGGCAACTCTTCTCCATGCTTTATCTCCGATGGATTTTAGATCATTTTGTATGTTATCTTGATAGCTAAGTTTTGGTCTTCCTCTGGATCATCTTCCCACTGGTCTTCTTCGGTCGAAAATTTTTGATCGTTGCATCTTCATATCGCCTAATTACGTGTCATATCTATCAAAGGCGTACTAATTTAATACATTTTACAACGTCAGTTTCCTCAAATCTTCCCTATAACTTAAGGTGTTATGAAAAAGAGACCTAAAATTGGCATTGATGATTCGCTTACTTCGCTGCTACATGTTCAGCAATCACATCAGCAAAATGACTGGGTAATTTCAAACGTATGCCCTACATCTCCAAACAATATCTTGAATTACAAAATATTGGCATCAATACAGTTTCCAAGATGACTTTATTAAGAGTAAGTATGATAGAATCCGAATACAGCCACGTTTTAAGGTTCAAAAGGCAAATATTTACTTCTCCTCTAGAAAATGCTTTCTCAAAACTACTTATCGTTTATTCCTCTCAAATGATAAACTTTAATACTCTTTACTAAGTGCAAAACTATTGGATATCAGGATACAGATTCTCCCATCATACTAACTGATAACTGCTCAAACGTACCCTTAGAAATCGCTTCAAATACGACACTCAAAACACAGGATACAGATACTGGAACAGAACAGAATATGTAAACACACTATATTATAACTGAGACTATAAAAACCTTCTTATATAGATAGATATCCTTCCTTGCCAAAAGAAACAACATCCTCAAATCCAAACCACATTAATAATACTACTGAAACTGTCTCGCTGCAACCTTTAGTTATTATTGCAAGCACAACAAGTAAATATCACGTTAAGTATTTAATAAGTTAAAAAAAATCTCACCCTTGTCTGATATTGTCCAAAATATCCCAAAATCGTATTCACAAATCCTTAGTTCCCCTACCACACATAAACAAAAGAAAAAACCTAAAAAAGCTCTTATTGATTCACTAGAATCAATAACGAGAAATATTTCAAAATTTAAATTTCAAAAACATTTAAAACAACACACAAATTCAGATCTATTTTGTTCAAAACTGTCAACAGGTCCTAAACCCAACAGTTAACACGAGTGGACAAATAATTGTATTTATTAAATACCTTGTGAATGCAATCAGTTTTATTTGGGTGAAACATCAAGGCCATTAAATGTTAGAATAAGTGAATATCCATCTTATTTTAAAAATAGAGAATTTGGTAAATCTCAAATATGTAAACACGCATGGGAGAATGAACATAGGGTTCAATGAAATGATCCGAGTATAGTCCTAAAAGAAACGGATGGTAAAAAGCAAATTCGCAAATTCTTCGGTAGAATGCAGTAGGATCTGGTTACCTATATTAAAAGAGGAAGTTAATAAAAGCAAAATAACGGTATGAGTAAGTCAGTAGCATATCGAGGATACATCATTTATGTTTTTTTAGATAACATATAAAATCAGACTTTGGTGTTTATTAAGAGTAAACTAAATGTAACACAAATACTTACCATATCGAAATAATATTATAAGGTTTTTTTCCTGTTTTTTTCGTCATAAATTACCATGCAATCCCTAACAAGAAAATTTTACTGCAATCATGGCATTTGGTTGTCGTTTTAAAGACAAATTACATGCTATGATTTTTTTCTGACGGATATTCTCAAGTTGATTTCATATAATCGAATGAACTATCTTACAATAAATCCGTCCTAGGAACGCAATTCGGCAATATTGGCAATATCATTTTAAATTCATCTATATTAAAATTTATAATATATAGCATTTTTCAGATAAAAAATATTCATTTGCACGTCATTCAAGATTTACGATGTCAGAACCCCACAGTGTGGCCAAAACATCAGAATAGTTAGTAAGTGAGGAATTTTTAAAATGTCAACTATTTGTCAAACTATTATACAGTAAATAAACTTAGTTTTAAGACTACTGCGACACATTAGAATAAATAAGAAAACATTTTAATACAAAATTATATATTTTATATTTCAAACTTACCTCTTTTGGGGCTTTAATAACAAAAACGTCCCGCCATTATGTCTTGTTCAAAATAATATATCTTATATAAAAGCGTATCAGCTTTCTACAGACTTTTATTTGTTTTGGCATATCACAATCATAATACACAACAATAATTAGTTTTAAAAGCTATTAATCTAAATTTAAAATGCATTTATAAATACAATTTATTAATATATATTATATTATGATCAAATTGTGTAAGAAATCAACACATAAACAAAATTTCTACTCTAAAAAACCGGCAACATTTTATACACTTTTGCCACCCGCTGAACTGCCAATAATATTTACGTACAATATATTTTCGTACAATTGTCTAATATATTTAATTAAAATTATTATTTTGTGGAATATTAGACTTCAAGAGTTATTTCATAAAATTTATATTATTAATAATAATAAATGTTTTTGGTTATTTAATCAATATAACTCTAAAATTTCCAATATAATGATGATTATATTTTTCTGATTATTACACCATGTTGAAGCCTATGAAAGATCGAGCAGTTCCGTATGGGTTTCGTATTATTAGCTGTGTTAGGAAAATTTGAACTATAAGGTTGATGTTCTGGAAATTTTAAATACAAGTGACGTCACTTTGTATAAATCGTGACGTGCAAGTGTTTTACTTTGAAGAATGATAGATGTCTGAATTATCAATATAAATAAATCAGATAAAATTAAATTATTAGAAGAATTTTTCACCAAGTAACAAATAACAAAATTTGTTTAATTTATTTATGGTTGTATTTTGATAACGATTTTCGAAGTGGAAATTGAAACGTAAATAAACTTACTTTAACCTTCAATTGTGGCTTACTCCTATTAAAATAGGAATTATTTCAAAATCTGTCATAATTACCGACTCTCTCAATGCATTCCATACGATAGAACAATTATATATAATAACAGTTATAAGTAGTCCTGTGGGTATTTTAATAAAAGAACAATAATTAAATTTACTTAACAACGCGAGGCAGCAGAAACACTTTATATCGGTTCCATCACACATTTTACTTTAAGGAAAAGAACAAGCAAATTTTCATATCAGAGGAGCAATACACATACATAGTGTTTTTTCAGTGTTGGTATACTAAGTGTCTGACTAGAAAATTATTTCTTAAAGAAAAAGTACCAAATAAATGGTAAAAAGAATGGTATCTTTAATAATCGACTCTACACATAGTAAAGCCCTCAACCGAATTTTAATACCAGATAAAGTTAAATCGCCAGCTGTTTGTTAACCTAACTCGTTTACGTATATGTCATAGCAGATTAATTGACAGCTACCTACTCTCCAAAACAAATCGCCGTATTTGTGACATATATAACTGCGACATTAATTTAACACATAATAGTGTTCCAAATATGTATATAAGTGTATGGGCAAGAACACTCAATACCTAATAGCCCAGGCTGTGGGGGAAAAGCACTCTCTAATTCAGGAATTTATGTAATGTGGCTTAGGTTATAAAAAGCAACCGCAATTCATTCAACAAAAATTTTTTGGTTTTTGTTTATTTATGAGCGTTTATAGGAGCAAAATATGTATTTTTTGAGTTTGTTTCATTTTTTGCCTAAAGTAAGTATTGTAATTGGTATTTTCTGTATAGATTATGAAAGTACTCTAAAATACCTTCAATTTGAGCCAGTATACGGTAAATTTAATTTATTTCGTATTGCAAAAATGACGAATGAAGGTCAAAATTAAAAAAAGTAATATTTAGTGCAAAATTGCTTTTTTTTTATTTCAAATATATGACATTCAATCATATAAAAGTACGAATCGAATGAACCTTAGTAGGCCTAGATCGCTTAATTTGTTGCTGAGATACGTTAACTAGTTTATCCCACGACCTTCAACTTTAAATGCTCATAGGATTGCCAAAAAAAAAATGGTAGAGGGCTAATTTTTGTTTCATTGTCTTTTTAAAGCCGTATGTTTTAATAATCCACTGGAAAATAATGACCAAAAGTTTTTAACCCGTTAAAAACAATTATTTATGAAGTTGTAAAATTGCAGTTATAAAAATTTAGAGCTGCAGCGGTTTCTATGTACCCTGAAACCTCAATACTCCGGGAGTATTGGATTTTAGGAAGTGTAAGACTTCCAAATTCCAGAAGAACTGGAAGAGAGGTGATGAAACTACTAAAAATACGACTAAGCTCAGAGGAACAAAGTTAAATGGCCAAAGAGACACTAAATCTCAAGTGAGTGTTCGGGCTAGCTTCAATGCACTGGATTGTGGCTTTAAAGATATAAACAGATAGCAAGGATACTAAGCTAATGAGACAAGAAACGAAATGAGACCTGGTAATATCAAACGTGATACAACTAAAGAAGGTCACTGGGAATAAATTTAAGAGAAAAGAAGGGCGCCAACTCAACGATAGTTGAGATTTTGAAGTAACAAATGACTGGAAACAAATAATACTAGAGATAATAACCTGAAATCCAAAAATACTAAATATTAATCTTGTCTTGCTATATTATATACTGGTTAGTAGAACTGAAATAAAACTCAAAATAGTAACAATAAATATATTTATAAAAATGTGTATATCGATATATATATGTATTAACAATTTACATATAATGCAAAAATTAAATAACAGTGGTAGTGGGTGAGTAAAGATACAATAGGACCTAATAGCCCCTCAACAAGCGAACAGTCACCACCACTGGCCAAATAAAGTTTAAAATATTAGTAACACCAAGAATAGTCCGTATGGTAGAAAAAGTCTTAACACAAAAAGGTAGTAATTTAAATTTAACTAGTTCAACTAAAATGAGATACAAATTACAATATTGTAAAGATATCAAACTTGATAAATCTATTACAATTATATTATATTACATCCAAAAAAGTGAGTCTTCAATACTCTTTATATAATGTTTAAAAAAAAACCACATGAAATTTATTTCCCTTCCCAAAATCAAAATTGTATTATATCAAAAATGTATTCTATTAAAAAAATATATATATTAAATCAAAAGTGAGTTTGGTCAGTACTCTTGAAATCCTAATTAAAATAAAACCTCATAAAACATGAAAGGTATTTTTCCTCTCCCAATAATATCAAAATTATATTTTATCAAAATGTAGTCACTTGATCATATGCATATGAAAAGTTAACAAAATAGACAGTAACAAAAAAATTACACAGTCAAACAACTTATCTTTACAGCACTATAAGTCCATAGGAAAAACTCCTCTTGGCACGGCTAAATCAGTTTGTTGCTGTAAAGGACAAATCCCAGGTGAGTCTGGGCATAAAACCAGTCACTGGTCTATCTGGAGTGACGGCAAAATCCAGGAGAGTTGCTAACTATTTAAGAAATTTTGTTACTAGTCCTTGAGGGAATATTCTTAAGAGAATATCCTCAAGTGAAGTGACGGAATATGGAGCCGCAGCACGCCAGAAAAATCTTCCTTTTATGTGGAACTCTTATAAATGAATATCTTGATTTTTAAAATTTACTTATTTTTATTATTATTTTATTATTATTATTAAATCGGTTCATTTTTCACCGAGATATTGCCAATTCTTCTGATTCAGTTTTTTTCTCGTTGCGCAAAGTCATCCCCAACACTACTTCTGTGCCATCGCTTGAAAAAAGTAAACTTTATTCGTCATTTTTAACAATAAATAAGGATTTTACTTTAAGAAAATACAAATACTTGAAAATATAGGTTTTTAAGTAGAGAATGATGCCAGATTCATTTCTTAGTTGTTATTAATAAAGAATCTGTATTAAAGATACATAGGGGGCACTGCAACTCTAAATGTTTATAACTGCAATTTTACAACTTTACGGGATATAATAATTGTTTTTACGGGAATAAATTTGTTTTTATTATTTTCCAGTGAAATATGAAAATGTACGGATTTAGGAAGAGAATGAAACAAAAATTAGCCCTCTACCATTGTTTTTGGCAATCCTATGAGCATTCAAAGTTGAAGGTTTTGGGATAAACTAATTAACGTATCTCAGCAACAAATAAGGCGATCTAGGCCTGTACGGCTCACTCGATTATTAAATTTGTAGGCTTGAATGAAATATATGATAGAAATTACCCATTACAACACTTACTTTGGGCAAAAAATTAAAAAAAAAACTCAAAAATACGTATTTTGCACCTATAAACGCTCATACATAAACAATAACCAATAATTTGTTGTTAAATGAACTGGGGGATTGCTCCTGAGGTTGCCCTTTATAACCTAGGTTGCATTACACATAAACTCCTGGATTACAGTGTAAAATCACCCTCTTTTTCGTTTACAGTCTGGGCTATAACAATATAAAAGCAATCTTAGGCGTATATTGTAAATTTGTAACTATGTTTAATTACTTAAAATGTATTGCTGTTTTAAACAAACTGTAATTGTTAAAGTTTTGTAGCTTTTATTAACAAGTTGTAAAATATGACATTCTTGCCTAATTGTGAACCTAATAATTAATCAAAAATACTATTTAGATTTAAATATCTATGTATTAATTATAATTCAGCTAATAACCCAAAAGGGTTGATGCTGTTACCAATAAAATAAAAAAAAGTTTTAGATATAAATAAGTGCTGATATCAATAAAATCAAAAAAAAATTTTGAGATATAAATGAGTATTACGAAACAATCATTTTAAATTTTCTTTTAGATGTTGTTCGCCTTAAAATAATCCATATGCGTATTGGAATCTTGTTCAGCGGTGTATTTGTATATTCGCAATCTGCTTAAAGTTGGCACTTATTATATAAATAAAGTAATTTAAAGAAGATATAACTACTAATTAACAAATATAAATAAGAGAAAATAGGACATATTACCAAATAAACAACTAGACCCAGTAAGATGCACATGGCACACCACACCTTTCTATAAATTATTAAATATGCACATCATCGTTGCCATCCTGGTGACCTTTTACATAGAACTAGATGTATTTAAATGACAGAAATGCAGTTAAAAATATGCAAAATACTTTGGAAAACAAGAAGTGGGCATTGCAGATGATGATACGTATTCAGTTAACTAGATTTTAGTATAAATATGTACATATTCAGAAATTGATGCACTTCAGTTTAGTGTGGCTTACTGGCAAGATTGAAACATGATTTCTTTGGTGAGTTTTCATGACTTTATAAGGCTTTTCTTATTTTGCTTATACAATAAACCATATTTAACCGGTAACATTAACATTGAAAAAAATATTTACAACGTGTTTTTTTTTTAAATAAATTAGTGGCAAAACAAAAAAAATATTTTTTTATATAGATAAACGACTCTTGCGTTTATGCACCACTGCAATGACATATTTTTTTTTAATTTTTTCGTTGGTTAATTTTATAGGCTTCAGTCGGTTTTTTTTTTTGGCAATCGGGCTAAGTGCCCATCTAGCCAGCAACAAATGTGTAATAACGTTCACTTAATAACCTAATCTAACTAATCTAAATACACTACAATTCTGGAAATTAGAAGAAGAATTACAATGGGAGAGAAACTAGGGTTACTTTTCGCACCTAGGGGTCATTCAAGGTGACTCACAGACAGAAAGTGTAGACCACGAAAAGTATAGGTAAAATTTATATATAATACCACATATTCAATGATATCAAATAAAGTAGATTGAAAGGGGGGTATAATTTTTGCAATATTAAACTATTAATAAGTTCTTCTCTTTGTATTTCAAATTTACTACAAGCATAAAAAATGTGATCTAAGTCGCAAACCACATTGCAAGTTTCACAAAGTTCGGTGTTGACTACACCGATTTTATATAAGTGTTGAGGGTAGCTTGCATGTCCGAATTTCAGCCTATATATGGTTACAATATCATTTCTTGTAAAATCATAATCTTGGTGCCAAAAATCTGTCGGAATACTTGGATGTAATAGTGTGTATCGTGTGAGGTTATTAGAGCAATAGTTTTTCCAATGCAGTTCCCATTTTCCTACGTCCCTACGTCCTCACATCAATAGATGGTCGGGTCTTAAACCCGTACCATGACAAAAATTTTTTCAATTTTTTAACGTGTTTGTGAAGTCCAGTGTCGACTTTTTATATGTTTTTTATATGTTTTAAGAATTCCAACTCCTACAAAAAATCATAATTTTGAAACTTAAGGAAATGAGATCTCTCCTTTGTAGTGGTATTTAAAAATTGACCATAGCTCTGATGATGGCTTTGTAAAGCCGAAAGCGCTTAGCTAGGAATTGCCTAAAATATACACACTTCAAAAATACTTTTTTGCATTTTCTTTCTAGTTCCCATTTTGCCTTAAAATTACTCTTAGATATCATTAAATATTCTTGAGCACCTAAATTGTTGTTGATATGCTCTCCTGTTGTAACGCTTTCTTTGGCCAAGGAGTCTGCAACTTCATTGCCACGAAGTCCTATATGAGCTTTTACCCAAGTGAATTTTAATTCGTATTGACTTTTTTTTTAATTATGAATTCTTACTTTTAATTCTCTAATGAAAGGATTTGTATCAGTAGCCATCACATTAATTGGGTTAGCAATGCATTTAAGAACAGATAATAAGTCACTCAAAAAATTTATTTTTTTTAACTTGTTTTTTTCGACATAATCACAGGCTTTAATAATACCAATAGCTTCTGCAGAAAAAATGGAAGTATTACTATTCAGTTTGAATTTTTCTTGAACGTTTGTTGATGGTATATAGAATGCACATCCCGTACCATTATTTTGTTTTGATGCATCGGTATATATTTCCAGAACATCTGATAGATTTGATATGCAGGTGCTTAATATATTTTTACTTATCAACCAATTTTCATTGTATACAGGAATATTAATTTCTAGTGGTTCCAACATGTCAAAGAATTCAGATTTTTCGACTGAAATAGTTCTTTTTAAATCACTATTATAACTACTTGTATTTCTAAAAGCCATACATAATGGAGGGGAAGGTTTTTTTGACCAGTACGTGTTAGTTAAATCGTGGTTATTTAATAAGGCTATTTTATCTAACAGAGTACGGTTTTTACAAAAAGACTTAATAATAAATTTTTCTGCTAGCCATTCCCTCCGTAAAAATAATGGTGGTTCTAGAGCTTCAATCCGAAGTGGTTCCACAGGCGTTGAACACATTGCACCCAAACAGAGTCTTAGGGAAATATTTTGAATTATTTCCAGTCATTTTAGAATGTAAGGACTGGCTGACCCATATAACGTACATCCATAATCCAAGATCGACCTAATAAAGGCTTTGTAAAAAGTTAAACACGATTGTGGATCTGCTCCCCACCATGTTCTCCTTATGAATTTTAAAAAGTTTATGCCTTTTAAACATTTTAATTCTATACTTTGTACAAATGGTTTCCAGTTAAGCTTCTTGTCAAGAATAATTCCAAGATAAGTTACTTTATTTGATACTGGATATAAGGTACCATTTACATTTATGTTATCAATATTGGGTAGATTATGTCTTGTAAAGTGTATGGTAACACTAGATTTTTGAGGGGTTAGAGAAAACCCTAACGATTCAAATTTCAAAGTAGTTAGTTGTATATGGGACGTGAGTTCAGTTATACCTACTTCTAATTTTTTGTTAGTGTTATAAACAACAAAATCATCAGCATACTGTATAATATTATAATTATTTTTTTCCTCGTGAATTTCTTTTGTAAAAACATTAAACAAAAGAGGAGAGATAACGGAACCCTGTGGTAAACCTGTGGATGATCGTCTGGGACCTATTATAGCATTGTTATTTGACCTTATATAAACTTTTCTTTGTGTTAAAAGATTGCACAAGACATTACACACTCTCGCAGGGACATCTGCCTGAAACAGTTTTTCTCTTAACATAATGATATTGACTGCATCGTATGCACCTTTTTTATCGAGAAATGCAGCACCTAGGTAATAGTTATTTGAAAAACATAACTGAATGTCTCTTCAGTGGGTTGTTTCTGTTAACTAATAAGGTATATATATAAATATATATATATATATATATATATATATATATATATATATATATATATATATATATATATAAGGTATATACTATTCAGAATAACAGCAAGCAAAGTTAGGATAGCCATGTTGATCGCTAACATCCGGAACGGATAGGCACCGTAAGAAGAAGAAGAATAAGGTATAAATGTTGTGGAAGTCTGACAAATGTAAAAGAATGTTTTAATATTTAATTGTATTAATTTTTCTCATCATCACAGTCATTAACATCTTAGTAGATGTGTTGTGGTTCATAATTGGGCTTCAGCAGCTCGGACAGTTTGATTGATAATATTTCTCCACTGCTCGCGGTCATCAGTTATATGTATTGCCTCAGTATACTGTTTATTGAGAAGCTTTTTAGTAATGTCCGCCCATCGCTGTGGAGATCTTCCACATTGGCGTTGAGTCTGAGGCCTTCCTTGGACCACCAACCGCTCCATTTTGTGATCACTTCGATGGATATGGCCAAAGAACTTTAAAATTCTAGAGTAAACGGTACTGGAGAGACGTTGATCCGGTTTAATTACATCCAGAACCGAGATATTTGTACGGCGAGCCGTCCATGGAATTCGAAGCAGGCGTCTCCATGTCCACATTTCAAAGGCGTCTATACGTCGTCGATCTGATTCTTTGACTGTCCATGTCTCGCATGCATAGTAAAATATGGAAAAGACCAGAGTTGAAACGAGTCTCTTTTTGTTTGTCATAGTAATGTGACGATCACGCAAGACCCCGTTTAGTTCACTCATTGCTGCTCTTGCTAGTTGAATGCGTCTTCTAATTTCGGATTCACAACTGCCTGTGTTGTTAACTAGAGCTCCAAGATATATCATAGATGAGACTACCTCGCATCCCGCAATAGTTTGGGTTTCAGGAAACTGTTGTTGGCGATCAATAACCATAATTTTGGTTTTATTGTAGTTAACCATGAGTCCAAATTTAGCACTTTCTACCTCGAGTTTTGGTTCCAAAATGCACCACTGGCAAAGTATAAAATTTAAGATATCTACAGTTCATGAAATTGTTTGAAGCAAGATATGTAGAGAAAGATTACATCTAACGCACTTGTAAATTGAATATTTGTAACAAACCCTGCATAACCTTCTTGCATTCGATGGATGATTCGCAGGTACATAATATGCAAAATTATCAAATAGATCTTCTTCCAGCACTTTCGGAATGATATGATTTAAATTCTAATTGCGCCATTCTAGATTTGTTCACATCTTGATAAATTTTTTAGTAATCAACAATTGTACTTTTCAAAGAATTCACAAATATTTTCCACCTCTTTGTCTTTTCTTCAATACTACTTTTGCACCATAATTTGCAATATCAATGTCGCCTAAGTTGTACCACCCGCATTTATCGATTATATTTTGCGTTAATGTTCGGTTGCCTAACTTGTATATTTTTCTTTTTGTTGCTATTCATTCTCCAATCAAAAATTGCATCATATGCACCTCGTTCCTTTTTACCAAAAATTTTACTGTTTTTAAGTGAACAATGATTTGTTCTGTTTTCGAGGTTTGAACCAGTAACCAAAACCATTTAGATTTAAGATGCATAAATAAATCTACAAAAAAAGTGAAAAGAAATTACAACTGCTCGGTTTTTCTATTTTTGATAGCAGCTCTAACACTCTACCACCACCAAGACTACTAAAATTTTTTATCGCTTTATGCATTTCCATACGGTTTGCTATAAAACCAATTATCATCTGGAGAATATAGACACCAAAGTTTAAAGACAAAGCTTAAAGGTTTTCCTTTTATGAACATCTTGCAGGAATGTCTTCCAAAATAGGGGACCATGTATTCATCAAATAGTGATTTGTGTTTCTAAATACATCACTGCGTGTATCGTTTGTTTATTGTATTTATATATGTCTATATTTGGCATATTTATTATTTTCATTTAGGTTTGAATTCTATAAGTTTTTTTTGGTTTTGTAAAACGTACAGTTTCTTACTATTTTTACACCCATATCTTCTTGGTTACTTCAATACAGTTGTATTTGTGGTAACGCATGGTATCTCTCTTCTTCTTCTTCTTTTTGTCCATTCTACTCTTCTATTTATTATATAGACCTTAGTGTTCTGCACCTAGAACTAAAATCAATGCTACAAGATTTAAATCACAAATCGAATCAAATAGGATTAAAAATGAATCTCGACAAAACAAAGATATTAAGCAACAGCCTAGAAAACATCACGATAGATATTCTATATAGATAACATCAATATAGAAAAGGTAGAACAATATATATATATATATATATATATATATATATATATATATATATATATATATATATATCTAGGACATGCAATTAAAAATGAAAAGGAAAATCAAACCCTAGAAATTAAAAGAAGGACACAATTATCATGGGCTGCTTTTGGTAAGTTGAGCTTCATTTTAAAAGACAGAAAAATCCCAATTCACTTAAAACGAAAAACCTATGACACTTGTATACTACCAGTTGCAACTTATGGATTGTAAACTATGGCAATAACAAGAAAAATGGCAGAACAATTAAGAGTAACTCAACGGGCCATGGAGAGGGCCATGTTAAATATAAGCCTCAGAGACAAAATTCCTAACACCGAAATACGTCGAAGAACTAAAGTAACCGACATCATGGGAAAAATAGCGACATTGAGATGGCAATGGGTAGCACATGTAGCAAGACAAGACACCAACAGATGGTCTCATAAAGTGACATTCTGGAGACCTCGAGAAACAAAAAGAAGCGTGGGAAGACCTAAAAAGAGATGGATAGACGATATAACTGCTGTAGCTGGAAAGCAGTGGATGAGAATTGCAAAAGATAGGGAAGCGTGGAAGCAATTGGAGGAGGCCTATGTCCAACATTGGATAAATGAAGGCTGAAAAAGAAGCAGAAGAAGTTCTGCACCTTGCTTATATGTCGTAAATCTGTACTTCTACCTTTGTCCCATAGTGTGTTACTATCAATTTTTTTTCCAATCGCCCATCCGTCATTCTAGCTATGATAACCATCTCCATTTTAGTCTGGTTATGATTTCGATGACGTCAATCACCTTGGTTCTTCTCCTAACCCCTTCGATTTTGTTGTTGTGTCGAAGAGTTATTCCTAACATGGATGTTATTCTTCTGTGTGTGACTCTTAGTTTGGTAGCTGGTTCTTTTATTAAAGTAAGTGTTTTTACTCCGTATGTTAACACTAGGACGACACATTTATCAAATACTTTTTTCTTGAGGCATGTAGGCAACTCAATTTTAAAAGTTTCTTTTAGTTTTCCATATTTCTAAGAGTGTTACGATGTTTATATTGAAACCTACATATTTATAGCTACAACAAATTCCGTTATCCTCTTTTTTGCGATTCCTAAGTTCTCAGCTATTATGACTATATCATCGACGAAACGTAAGTTGTTTAGATATTCTCCATTCATATTTGTTTTCCTTGTCAGCCAATCCAAATTCTTAAAAGCATGTTCTAGTACAGTATTAAAAAGTTTAGGTGACATCGGGTTACCTGGCCTAACACTATGCTCTATTTTTTTTTCGTTTACTATTAGTATGTATGTAATTTGACAGTGAATGTTACTGTAGGTATGTATTGTGTAACAATTTTGTACAATTATAGTTTAAAATACGTTGTCGATCTTTAGTCGTTACGCATTTAAGCCACCCATTTTTAAGACAACTGTATTTTGTCTTCATGTTTAATTATATTGTTCTTTCTTTGTACTTTTATACAGGGCTATACTTTCTATTCTGCTTTCTTTAATTTCCGAATATTTTTTTAATTCCGAACATTTATGAAAACATAGTTAAATTGGAAATTGGAATACTTGGGGCACATCAGGATAGGTGAAAAGTACGAACTACTAAGGAATATAATGCAGGGAAAAATCAAAGATAGAAGAAGCGTAGGAAGACGTAAAATCTCGTGGCTACGCAATCTGCGTGAATGGTTTGGATGCAGTTCAATTGAACTATTCAGGCGCGTAACCAACAAAATTATAATTGCCAGAATGATTTCCAATCTCCGATAGGAGTGGAACTTGAAGAAGAAGAAGAAATGTTAAAATTTTCTACGTCTATTCATATGAAGGACCATGAAATGATCTTTGAAATAGACATTAATAATTGCATAAAAATTGTTCAACGACAAAATGCAGAGACTAGTGATATCAAGAAATAACATACTTAAGTAAAATCCTTCTGCAGATAATACACAATAGGGTAGATTAATTTAAGAACCGTCGATCATGTCCCAAAAAAACTGGTTCACTGAAAAAATGAACATAAATTTTTAATCTAAGCTTAATTATAGAAAAATCAAGAAAACGTAATATTTCCTCAATGTCTCCTTGAGAAACTATACAAATAGTTTCAATAATATACAATTGTAGTTCTTTCGCCGATCCCAATTAACATAATGCAAAGTTTGTATAAAAATTTTAAAGACATAATAAGTGTCTTTAATCACGTATAAAGTACAATATAAAATACTTAAATAACTCATTAGGCAATAATTTTTTTAGGTATTATTTTTGACAATATGTGGGTGTGCTCTTGGTCAATATAGAGGAGAGAAACTAGTCGTCCGACCCAATATTCCCATTACTCCTGGACAAGTAATTAGAATTATTAGTCAGACCCAAGAAGGACCAAACATTGATGGATCATACGGCTGGAGGTAAGTCATAATTATAAATATTATGGAATTATGGTAATAGTAAAAGGTTTTATAAAACTGATCAAATTATTTTAAAAAATTTATTTTTTTTACCACTTTGTGTCTCTCCCTCATATAAGCAATAGGTGCGCTGCTTAGTCAATGAGCAGAAACTACGTTACAAACTTCTATTTTATTTCAATTTTTCCAATTTTCAAACCAGACATCAAAAGTAGGTTATTCCTAAAAACTCTGCAACGGTCCCAATGTATCTCGACGTGAAAACTACTATTGGCGACGTGCAAGTACTTGGATGTGGTACGAGAAACGATCGTGCGCGAGTAGCGGAGAAATCTTGCATTTTTTACTGCACATTTCATAGATTTCATAAATTCATATTGTCAATTATCAAATCGTCATATTTCAGATTCGTTTATTTATTTACACCTTCTGTCACTGAAGAAAATGGGATTTAGTCAGAGATACTTACATATCTCTGGATTTAGTAAATGCTGTGTTATAAATTGTAAAAGTAAAACAAAAAATTGTCAATTTAAGTTTTATTCTTTTCCAACTTCGAAGCACAAATTACTACAAAGAGAAAAGTGGATTTATATCATAAAAAAGCATAAGTAACATAACCTAAATTATGCATAATTCTTGCGCCCGATTTTAAAGTCAGTTTGAAATAAATAATAAATAAAAGTTCACTTTTAAGTGAAAATTTTAGTTTCATAACACTCACTTAGAGTTCACTTTAACCCAAAAATCAAGTTTAATGCTAATGTATTACATAGCTTTGCCCATTTTTTCTTAATTCTTCCACATTCTTAACATAATTTGCCACTACTAAAGCTTGTCCCTTTGACTCAGTGCTTGGTTGAAAAGTTATTTGGTGATTTACTTTCTCAAATCCAGTTTTTGTTATTGCATCCATATTAACAGTCTAATCTAATTAGCCTTCTTCGGTCCATCTTTGGACATAGGCCTCCCCAATCGTTTTCCATTCTTCTCTGTCTGTCGCTACAGTCATCCATCTAGAGCCCACGTGCTTCTTGATATCATCTGCCCATCTCATTTGGGGCCTTCCTCTGCTTCGTTTATATTCCCACGGTCTCCAACTTATAAAATTTTGTTCCATCGGTCTTCTTTTTGTCTTATATTGTGTCCGGCAAATCTCCATTTCAATTTTGCAACTTCTTGTCTAACATCCCTCACTTTTGTTTTCTCTCTTATCCACTCGTTTCTCTTCTTATCCATTAGTCTTATGTGCAACATTTGTCTTTCCATTGCTCTTTGGGTTTTTATGATTTTGTCCATGTTTGCTTTTGTAAATGTCCACGTTTGGGAACCATAAGTAAGAACAGGGAGTACGCATTGATTATATACTTTGGTCTTAAGATGCTGTGGATATCTTTTGCTTTTAAGAATGTAGCTTAGTTTGCCAAATGCCACCCATGCCAGTCTAACTCGTCTCTTGATCTCTGCTGTTTGGTTCTCTTTGTTAAGTTTTATAGTTTGACCAAGATATATATATAATCCTTAACTTGTTCTATTTCATCTTGTCCGATTCTCATCGTGATGTCTTTATCTGTATTTGTTATAGTTTTGGTCTTGCTGTAATTAATATTAAGGCCTATCTTTCCAGCTTCTACGTCCAGTTCTTTCATCATTTCAAATAATTCTTCTTTTTTATCGGTTATCAATACGATGTCATCAGCGTACCTTAGATGGTTCAAGCGTTGTCCACAAATTTTTATACCTTCTTTTCCTATTCTAATCTTTTAAAAGTATCTTCAAGAGCCTGATTGAAAAGTTTCATATTGAAAAATTATATATTGGTTATTAGTTCCGTATATCTGTGGTCAATTCGGCTGTTTATCAAAGTACTTTTTACTGCCCAATGTTCGACACTGTCGAAATCCTTTTCGAAATCTATGAACGCCATATATAGAAGAATGTGGTATTTATTTGCTCGTTCTATAAGTATTTTTATATTTAGTAAATGGTCACTTGTGCTGAATCCCTTTCTAAAACCAGCTTGTTCTTTCGACTGGTATCCATCGAATTTTGTCGTCAATCTATTGGTTAAAATTTTTGTTACGAGTTTAATTGTATTTACACTACATGCAACGTTTACATTTTACTAACATACCGAGATAACCTCAATCTTACTTTTTCTTCTTATTCTTTTTTGGGGCTACGTCCTTGACAGTTATCCGGTAACCTCGATCTAACATGAGAGCGCAATAAATTTTGCTGATTTACGACACCAGGTGTCACTCTTCCGAACTTGCACGGTCCCAATAACAGGTACAAAACTTCACTAGATCGTCTATAGCCTACAATTTCGAATTCTCACATAAAAAAGATTATATTATCCATATAGTTCGTCTAAAGATCTTGGTCAATTTTCAAAGATTAATCCCACTGTAAACCTATAATCTCAAAAGAAAAAGTAGTACAATAGGCAGAGATCTATACTATGTTTTCTGTAAATTTAATTATTATATAAACTAAATATGTTTAAAAATAATAATTGTATTTATATAAAATTATTCTAAGCCGAGAATTATTATAAAAATTTTAACAGATGATTGAATGTTGTTATTAATCGGAAGACATATTTTATTTAGGTAATATTTTAAAAGGCGACAAATAGAATATTTTAAAAGTTATCTTAGCTTTTGCTCTTCAGGGGTCACTATTCCTTACTTTTCTTCGCCACACATTTCTGTCCATCGTGTTTTCTTCATTTAAACCATTCCCTTGCAAGTCCTCTGCCACACAGTCGTTTTATCTTCTTTTTTTTTCCTTTATTTCTTTTTTCCTTACTTTTTGACAGCTTGGTCCTTCATGCCACAGATTTTTTATTTCTTCACATGATGTATCCAAACCATTATGCTCTTAGTTATTGACCCTTTTTGATACTACAGTCACTCAGTCACTCTAGGGCTTCTAATACGCTCATTCTATCATTTCTGACCACTATCTAGTGTTTAACAAATGAAATACTGTAGTGATATAACAAGTCACAGAAGTATTTAAAGTGCCTTTGTTACTACAGAAAAAATAAAAAAATGTTATCAAAGATATTAAGAATAATACCTGGAGCAATATTCTATAGAAACAAATATAAATAACAAATCAAAAAATGTTAGGGAAATGGTTTTATTCAATAAAGCATAAATAAATGTTGATTCATGTATATACATCTTTGGGCTATACTACACTGCATCTACACGGATGTCTAGAACTGCTAAACAACACACAGACATAGACATAGTCAACTTACAGTAAAAAGCTTAATTATTTATCTTTAATTGATCTTCTTCTTCTTAACGTGCCCTATCAAGTCCCCTTGACGTTGGCGATTAACATGGCGAAACTGTCTCTGTCTCGAGCTATTCTAAAGAGTTGCTCAGCTTTCTTTATTCCTGTCCACTCCCTGATATTCTTCAACCAAGAGGCCTGCTTTCTACCAATTCCTCTGCGTCCTTCGATTTTACCCATCATAATAAGTTGAAGAATATTATATCGGTCTCCCCTTACTACGTGTCCAAAATAGGCCATCTTTCTACATTTGATGTTATCAAGCAGCTCGCGAGCAGCATTTGCTCTCTCAAGGACTGCCACATTTGTCAGCATAGCCGTCCATGTAATTTTTAGTATACGTCTGTGCAGCCACATTTCAAAGGCCTCCAGACGATTAATGGTGGATATTTTTAATGTCCATGCTTCGACACTGTATAAGAGGACTGACCAAATGTAGCATTTAACCATGCGCTTTCGAAGTTGAAGTTGCAAGTTATCATTACAGAAGAATGACCTCATTTTTAAAAATGTCGTGCGGGCTATCTCGATTCTACATTTTATCTCTTGATCTGGATCTAGTTGTTCAGTAATATGGCAACCAAGATATTTAAAACTGGACACTCTTTGAATTATATGACCATCAACATATAATCGTGCATCTTGATGTGCTAAACGGCTAAACACCATGTGTTTTGTTTTTGAACAGTTTATGTTTAGGCCAAACTCTCTTCCCACTGTATCAATAGCATTTAAAAGGCATTGTAATCCATTCATGTCATCACTTAAAATAACTGTATCGTCTGCATATCTGATTGTATTTATCAGAATTCCATTAACTTTCCCGCCCCATTCCAAATTATGCAGCGCTTCTTTGTTGAAGCCAAAAACCCCAAAAACTCAGTTGTTATTAACAGGTCCTCGAAGACACTTCGTCTCAGGACCATTTTACCTATGTAGGCTTATACGTCGCCATGTAATCTGTAACCATTATAATGTAAAACAACTGTAAACTTATAACATTTAAAGGGTTTTGACCCATATATTTTGGTGGCTCATAGCATGTATACCTCGTTTACACTGATAATGGATTTAACAATCCGAAAACGTTTTGTAATGTAATTGTGATAGTCCGTTTGGGCATTTTATTATATCCCTTTTATTTGAAATAAATTTTTTATATGTGACTTCGTTACTTTTTGGATTTTTAAGTGTCTGTTTTAATTAGCTATAGAATGATTCGACATCATTGTCATATTTCTTTTCTGCAGTAATAATTGATCTAATAGCTTCTTAAACTAGCTTATTTTATAATTTTAGTAACACCTACTCACTTTGTTAATACCCATGTATTGCACCCATACGTTAGATTAGGTCACAGGATTGTTTTATACAGTCTTATTTTTGTATTTCTCGATACCTCTATCGATTTTAGCATTCTTCGAAAACTGCCTGCACACCTGTTTTCTTTTGCTATTCGTAGATCTATTTCCTTATCTTCATCGCATTTATTTGTCACAAGAACTTCCAGATACATCCACCTTCCACCTCTTCAATTTCCAGAATTTCTCTCCCCCATGCAATTTTCATATATTAAGTTTTCTGCTTTTCTTTTGCTTATTTTTCAGCTCCATGTATTTTATTTCATTTATATTTATTTATAATCCCGTATTTCCTGCGGCCTCTAAAAGATTCTAAGCTATTTTTTCTTATTCTTTTCTACTCCTAGCTAGAAGTACAACATCATCAGCATACTCTAAAAATTGGTGATTCTAATTAAATATTCCGCTCTATTCATATTGCTGTCTCTTATTATCTTTTCAAGGACCAAATTAAACAGCGTGGTGGATAGAGGATCCCTTGTCTTACACCTTTCTGAACTCTAAAGTATTGACTCTTCTTTCCATAATCTTAACTGCGCTTGTAGTGTTCTGAAGCATCATATGTACCAGTCTGATTATCTTAGAGGTGCTTTTAAACTCCTGTAGTGCCTTCATCAGTTTTGATCTACCTACATTGTCATTAGCAACCTTAAAATCCACTAAGTCGGTATGTCGTATTCATATGCACCAGAGAGAACTTGTTTTAGCATAAATACATTAAATAGTAGCTGATGGTTTTTTTCTAAATCAGCTTGATAGTCGTCCAATATATTTTCTGTGTACACTTCTATTTTTGTTTTTAGTTGTTGCCAGTACTTTGTATGTGACATCCAGAAGTGCTATTCCTCTGTAGTTATCACAACTTGACAGGTCTCCCTTCTTATGTATTGGGTATATTTTATACTTGCACCACTCTTTATCCTCTTCTCAGATATGACATATTAGTTTGTAGATTTTTTCTCTCAGGTAATATAATCCATACTTTAAGTTTTCTGCTGCTATCCCGTTTTGTTCAGGGCTTTTATTGTTTTCCATCACAATTAAAACTTCCTTATTCTCATCTTTAGTTGGTCCTGCAATATCTATTCCATCCATTGGTATTGATTCTTGCTCATTGTGGTTTTCCTCCTTTATTTCACCGTTCAGGTGTTCTTCGAAATATTGTTTCCATCTCGTTAATTGTTGTTGTTCATTTCATACAAGATTACCTTCTTTGTCTTTAATGTATGTCATTTCTAAATAAGAACCTCCGCTTATTTCTTTAACATCTTTGTAAAAAAAAATTTCTTTACTAATTTCCTTTAATTAATTTCCTTTGTCCAATATAGATTCATATCCTCATTCTCATTTTTTGTTTACATCTTTTGTCTATATATTCGCTTTACCTCTGTTTCTTTTTTACATTCTGTGTTTAACCATTTTTTCTTCTGTTTCCTTTATTCTTTGTTATATTGTTGTTCATAGCTGTTTTTACTATTTTCGAGTATTTGCCAGTTCTCTTCTATTCCATTTAGTTAAACTGTTACGTGGCGGTTATAAATATTTTCTACATCTTGCCTATACTTGTTGGCTACTTTCTCTGTTTTCAATTCGTCGTTGTTATATCTTATGTTTTGCCTTCTTTCGGGTTTTACTCTTTTTGGTTACTCATACTTTAATTTAACTCTGACCATATAATGATCTGAATTAACGTCAACTCCTCTGTACGTTCTTACGATGGTTATAAGTTCTGAAAATCTTAAAATGAGTACTAATTATCTTTATTTTTCTTTCTATGACTAGTGAGATTACCCTTTGTCCATTATAATTGCTTTATTCATGCTTACTTTCGCCCCCTATGATTTTCTTGTACATTTTTCTCTTCCCACCTTTGCATTTGCATCTCGTATAATTATTAGTATAATTATCGTCTCGGTACATTGTCCAAAACGATTTCTATTTCCTCGTAGAAAGCTTTTTTTCTTTCTTTCTCCAGTTGAAGTCTGATTAAAGTTCTAATGGTAGTATTGTTAGGTTCATGCCTCTGTAAGTCGTCTCTGATTTACTGCTCCAGTTTTAAATGTTATTTATAGTAGTTTATTTAATAAAACTAAATATCAATTTTGTTTTAGTTACGAAACCGAAAATGGCATTGCTGCTCGTGAAGTTGGAAGACCAAAAGCCCAAGACACTCAAGAAGTTCAAGGTGAATTTAAGTACACAGCTCCAGATGGTTCACCAATTCAAGTAGTTTATACCTCCGATGAAAACGGTTTTGTTCCACAAGGTGCCCATTTACCTACGCCTCCACCAGTTCCTGAAGCGATCTTGAGATCATTGGAATGGAATGCTGCTCATCCAGAAGAAGATGATTATATTAAGGGAGCTAATACTATTGAGGGTTCTGTTAGATATAGAAGACCTTAAATAATTAATGCGATATTTCTTTAAATATGACGTAGATATGTTTGTATTTATTCTGTAAATGTGGTTTGAAGGTGTTGTTATGATTATATTTTTGTAAAATAATATTCTGGCAAATAAATAGTGATCTCTACGGCGATAACACTAAAATAACTGTTTGATTTATTCGACAAACTTTTAAGAGATGCCTTTCATCTGTCTACCATTTACCATTTTCAAAAAAGAAGTGAAGTTTTCCTGTATTGGCCATAAGTTAATGAGTTTTGCTTAGTATTTTTCCGATTTTACAATTACATAGATTATATTCCATTCTTTATTATTCTAATTGATAAACCAGCTATTTTGATATTATAATACGTGCTACTTTATTCACTTTTTCTAAATACACCAATACATATTCTTAACGAATATTGGTTACATGGTCAATTAGTTTCATTCCATTCTTAAAACATTTTCTCCATATAGGTCGACTACTTTGTTACTATCCATTTTTCTAGTTCTCGCATTAAGTTCTACCATCATATAATTACTTTCATAATTAATGATTCATAATCAAAGGCTGTTTTATGTAACAATAAAACACTGAAAACATTCTTTTCAAACTTCCACAAAATTTATTTTAAATATGATCACTAGAGCTGTTTCGGCTGATTGCCTTTCTTAAGTGATCTATTTTAGCTTGGGTTTACAAATTTATAGTCTCTAATAAAATAGGTTGAGGAGGGGAGAACTGTTTGTCTCAAGTTGGTCATTCAGAATTATATCTGTGTTTTTTAATTTGTTGATTTTCATAGATTCTAACAAAGATAGCTTAAGGCCTTTATTTTGAATGTAAAGAATTTTAAATTTGTCATTAAAAGAATGATTATGATCTAGAAGGTGAAGTGCGTATGTCGAATCTGTTTTTCTATTCTTAAAAGCCCTTTTATGTTCTGCTATTCGTTTATCAAAGTTTCTACCAGTTTGACCGATGTAAGTTTTTGGAGAGTCGCCACACTGAAGTTTGTGCACACCACTATTTAAGTGTTTTTTATTTTGGCTCTAGTAAAAAACCTTTTAGACCAAGATAGTACAAATCCAATAATTACATCTGAAATTTTACCTCTTCTTGAAGTTTGCATAAACCAGGACTACTTTGAATTTAATAATAAAATTTATACAAATAACAGTGCAGGACTTATAATGGGTAATCCTCTAAGCCCATTGCTATCAGATATTTTTATGGATCATCTAGAAACCAAGATTTCAAAACATCCCGTATTCAAACAGTTTTTATATTTGTGGAGATACGTAGACGACGTACTGGTATGTTTCACAGGAACTAACAGGCAACTCGACCAATTTTTATCATATATTAATTCACTTCATAGTCATATTGAATTTACAATAAAAAAACAGAACAAAATCAATCCATAAACTTTTTAGATTTAAAAATTAGCCGACTTCAAAACAAACATGACTTCTCCATATTTCATAAACCTACCCATACTGACACGACTATACACAATTCGTCATCCCATCCAACACAACATAAACTGGCAGCTTATCATAGTATGTTACATAGATTAACAGAAATTCCGATGTCAAAATACAACTTTGAGACAGAATTAAATATAATTAAGCAATTAAGCAGTAAACAACGGATACAACGAACAAACAATTAATAAAATGTTAAATCAAAAACTACACAAGAAAGCCCTGAAATTAGTATTTCCACCACCAGAGAAAAAACCCAGTACCTTCTGCTCGATTACATATACAGGCAAAATAACAACAAAAATTGCCAAACACATAAAAAAGAAAGGAATAACACCAGCTTTCCGAACAAATAACAACCTAGGCAAATATATTAAAAATAACAAGAGCCAAAATAAAAAACACTTAAATAGTGGTGTGTACAAACTTCAATGTGGCGACTGCCCAAAAACTTACATCGGTCAAACTGGTAGAAACTTTGATAAACGAATAGCAGAACATAAAAGGGCTTTCAAGAATAGAAAAACAGATTCGACATACGCACTTCACCTTCTAGATCATAATCATTCTTTTAATGACAAATTTAAAATTCTTCACATTCAAAATAAAGGCCTTAAGCTATCTTTGTTAGAATCTATGGAAATCAACAAATTAAAAAACACAGATATAATTCTGAATGACCAACTTGAGACAAACAGTTCTCCCCTCCTCAACCTATTTCATTAGAGACTATAAATTTGTAAACCCAAGCCAAAATAGATCACTTGAGAAAGGCAATCAGCCGAAACAGCTGTAGTGATAATATTTAAAATAAATTTTGTGGAAGTTTGAAAACAAAGTTTTCAGTGTTTTATTGTTACATAAAATGAATTTCCATCAAGTAACCGTCGAATCCATCAATTATTTAAAAGGCTGTTTTAATAAAAAAACAATTTATTTAGAAAAAAGTTATATTTTCACAAAACTGTAAAGGTAAACTTACGTCATTTAATAGAAAATATGTCCCATTCGGCTGTACTTACTGCTTTCAACAGTTCGGGCAAATATTCTACGAGCTTCTAACAGTTCCCAGATATCCTTTCGTCTTGAAAACAAACCTAAATGACCGCTTTAGTTATTTTTATTTTTTTAGTACAGTTCATTTTGCTAAACTGGGGTCAAAGAGCAAGAGCAAAAATTGGCAACGAACTCACTGAAAGTGTGCAGATCAAAAGAGGTGCCGTCAGGGGTGTATTTTATTCCCACTCCTATTCAATATTTATTACGAGGAAATATTTAACAAATGTATGAAAAATGCAAATGAGGGCATAAAAATAAACAGCGAGTTAACGAACAATATAAAATATGCCGACAAAACGGTGATCCCAGTACCATAGACGAATTACAACAGGTAAAAAATGTTATTCAGTTAGTGAGGAATACGGCCTGAGCCTCAACTTCAAGAAGGCAAAGTGGATGCTGATAAGCAAAAAAGCAACAACCTGCTCGACAATTACGGATAAGTAACATACTAATTGACCATGTAGAATCTTATGTGTACCTTGATACCAACGTTAATGCAAAATGGTAACAGGCTACAGAAATTAGGGCGAGAATAAAACGAGCTAGAGCAGCATTTAACAATATGAAAAAACTCCTCATAAGCAAGGATTTGTCTCTTCACATAAAACTACGTCTAGTTACATGCTACATTTTCCGATCTTACTATATGATGTGAAGGCCTGCACGCTGACAGAGACGTTTACGAGAAAACTAGAAGCATTCGAAATTTGGGTGTAGCGAAGCATTCTTTAAATATCCTGGACCGAACATGTCACCAACATAGAGGTAATCCAAAGAATCGGAAAGGAGAAAGAAATCGTGAGCACAATTAAATAAAGAAAGCTTGAATATCTATACCACATATTGAGACACGATAAGTACCGTCTTCTATTGCAATTGATTGTCTAGGAGAAAATAGACAGTAAGCTAGGGTCAGGCAGGAGAAGACACTCGTGGCTCCAAAATCTGCGGAAGTGGTTCGGGTTTACATCAGTCAAACCATTCAGAAGCGCCGCAAACAAGATCAGAATTGCTTTGTTAATAGCCAACGTTCTAGCTTTGCAAATGGCCCATACATTTTTAATAGGGTTAAGGTCTGGCGAACTACTAGGCCAATCTACAACATTAATTTTGTTGTGGGAAAAATCGTGGCGAAATCGAATTCAAATTTTGACCGCCGTGCTTTCTAAAAATTGCAAAGCAAACAGCTTGATGAATAACTTGGCAAGAAAATCTAAGATTGCATTTCACATGTCGTTTATAATGGTCAAAATTCGTAGTGAATTCAATTTCTGGTACTTCAATTTAGAAAGCACGGTTATCAAATTTTGAATTCGATTTCGGCAGGTAGAAATCGTTTCATTTCTATTTTTGTTATTAGATGGCGTAGTTACGTCCGTATATAATTATTTTATAACTATTGTTTAAGACAGGAATAGACTTTGTTTCCATCCAGAGAGGTGGCTATACAGCTCGAACGAGATCTAAAGAGGTCGAAATACGTATAAGCGATTGCCGTCACTCTGTATTGAAACAAAAATCTAGTACCGTCTTTATATTTTATTTCTTTACTCCGTTTGGAGTACCAGAAATTGAATTCACTACGAAGTTTGACCATGATGAACGACATGTGGAATGCAATCTTAGATTTCCTTGTCGAGTTATTTATCAAGCTGTTTGCTTTGCAAGTTTTAGAAAGCACGGTGGTCAAAATTTGAATTCGATTTCGCCAGGTAGAAATCGTTTGATTTTTTTTTGTTATTAGATGGCGTAGTTACGTCTGTATATAGTTATTTTATAATTATTATTAAATAAGGGAATAGATTTTGTTTCGATCCAGAGAGGTGGCTATACCGCCCTGACGAGATCTAAAGAGGTCGAAATACATATAAGCGGTTGCCGCCGCTCTGTATTGAAACAAAAATCTAGTACCGTCTGTATATTTTATATTATATATTAATTTGTTTAATATTTAAAAATTCCATCATTTACTTTGATTTATGACAAGGAGCAGAGTCCTGTTAAAAAATCGCTTCTTCTTTCTTTTTTTGGAGTTAAACTATCAAGTCAGTTTCAAATGTACACAGAACTTTTCTCCAGTCGTCCACAGTCCATTTAGAGTATTTTTTGGCTGACAATAGCCTTTGTTTCTTTTTATTCTACCATTATTTAAAAATCTTTTTGGAACAGTTGATTCATGAATCATTACACCTAAAGCTGCTAGATATTATTGGAGCTCTTGGCTTGTTTTTCTTGTGTCTAATTTGCTCTTTCGAAGTAAAAATTTTTCATCTGCTCTTGGCTGTTTTCTCTTTCTTCCGCATTTTCCAATCTTATCACATATAATGATCATGTGTTTTCGTTTATGCTTTAAAATCTTGTTACTACCCACTGACTCACTCCACACGTTCTTGCATTTTCTCTTTGTGACGTAAAAGTGTGTTGACTTAACGTAATAAGCTGTTTCTTCCTAGGCGTAATATCCATGATAGAATTAAACGAAACAAACTCAATTACCTAAAACAACACAAAACAGTACAAAACAACACAAACTTAGTGGGGAGTTGAAGCCTGGACATTGACGCAAGCCACAGAAAAACGGATTGAAGCCTTCGAGATGTGGATCTAC